TGTGTGTGTGTGTGTGTGTGTGTGTGTGTGTGTGTGTGTGTGTGTGTGTGTGTGTGTGTGTGTGTGTGTGTGTGTGTGTGTGTGTGTGTGTGTGTGTGTGTGTGTGTGTGTGTGTGTGTGTGTGTGTGTGTGTGTGTGGTTGCAGTAGTTGCAGTAGTTGCCTGTTTATGTGTGTTTGCAGTGATGGGAGATGTTTTTCCCCTCAGCTTGCTCGCCCTATTACTGGATCAGTGCAACAGATGAAGGCCAAAAATAAGTGGGGACTTTATTTAGTGGGAGCTGAGTATGTAACTGTATCCAGTGGTTTTATTTTAAATTCGATCCACAGTCCGAAGAGGCAGTCTGGCCCGGGGACATGTGACCGGCTTTAATGTCAGTGTGGTTTAATATAAGAACTGATCTCTATCTGGCCTCAGTTGCTTTCTGACCAGCTGGGCTGCACTCTGGACAGGCAGAAAGGTGAGGAGTTAAAAGTGCAGAGACCACCCTCCTGTGGCATTTCACACTCAAGCATAGATTTAAGGGGGGACGGAGGGGGTGACTCAGGAATGTGAAGCAAGCCAAGGGTGTGTGTGTGTGTCGTGTGCATATCACTGCCGAGAAGCCTCCTCCGCCAGAACCATGGTACTATCCATGTGTGCTTGTTTACATCTCCCGCTGTTTGCAGGTGGTGCTTTACCCATTTTCTAAACTGAAGGTGCAAATAGGCCCCTGAAGTGTGCTTGGAAAGCTATTGGAGGAGCTCATGGCATCAGTGTACTCTGCATTTGTTACACAGATTGAATGCAGTCTTAGGGATGTAAAAGAAAGTGATCATCCTATAAAGTTAATGACATTGAATTAAAAAACTTGGGATAAATTAAAATCATGGAATATCATGATATATATTGGAAGACAGCTTCCCACTTGTCTCCTTTCCAATTCAGCTGCTACCCAGTATTGGTACTATGTGCTAGGCCCTAGGTGCTAAAACAAATGTCCTAACTTTTAACATTTTACATTACATAAACGTTAAATGGTTCAATATTACCAACATAAATGGAATTAAACATAATCAGAGAAACACCAGACAGAAAAAAACAACAATTGGGTTTTGTTGACAGTTTTGAGTGGTTCTGTTTCTTTTGATTCGCTGGGACTACTGAAGTGTGCCCTTTCTTTCTGGCCCCCTAATCAGGTTTTTCCAGGATGATTATTTGATTTATAAAGAACTGCTGGCCTGCTAAGTGTATGTTTGTCAACACTCTGGCTCCACACCAAATCCCTCATGTGCAAAGACGGAGACATAGAGACAAATACAAGAGGGCACAGAGAGAGGCAGAGCTGAAGAGAGTTAATGAATGGAACAAAAATGATGGTGACAGTTTGTGGTCTTGGGTAGGACACTGACAAACTGGGGTAAAAAAACCATACAGACATTTCTTTATTTAAAGGTACTCCAATAGAAAACACAGGTATCACAATGATACTGATGTTTAAACAGGCCACTATCTGTTTAAAATACAGGGCACTTTTTTTGAGCTTTCCTTTTATTTACACCCTTGAAGCATTTTCATTTTTTACGTCGGTCTCGCCTTTCTTACAGATGCATTCCACCAGACACTGTTAACGCATTTTACGCTGTCTGGAACACACATGGTGCTTTGAGTAAACATGCCCTGATTTAGTGACACACACATGCAAGCAAGCACTGTCTGTCTGTGCTCACTTCCACAGTTTGCAGGCATGACTATAAAAACAAGGACTTTTGATTCCCTCGCCTCCATGTTGCTTTGAATCCAGAATAATGGTGTCATTTACAGCCATGGATCCATTCAGACCGGGGTGCGTAATGACCTGTTAGCTTGTTACTGGCAAGATTTGTACTTTCATGTGGCTCTTAAGATCTAATGCGGTTTTAAAAGGATGAGCCCATTACTGGTTATTAAAGGGGCCATCTGCTGTTACTCGGTACTTCCTTCCTAATGTATTTCATGTGCCACATACAGTCGGTTTTATTCCATTTTGACAAGTGAGGCATCATCTTGAAGTTTTATTTCAGAAATATATACCCTCTGGGAGTTTGTATGTATTTGAATGTGGGAGGAAGCTGCCTTCCCTGACCTTCATCCCTGTGGTTGGTATCACAGAGATGTCATTCTGCTCTACAAGAACCAGTAGCAAGCTTAAGCTCGACACACCCAACGGGAATAACTGATCCATTTAGTCATTCAATCTCAGACATGCCTGCCTCACTGAGCAGTTAAAACACATGTAGGATGTGGTGGAGGAACATCAACATACCTTTGGGCAGGGAGTTTTTGATTCAAAACAAAGCCTGGGGGTTGGAAATTAAACTTTAAAAGCCTAAAAAACTCAACAGTTGGAAAAATAGCTATTGATTTATTGCTACAGTACTGATGAATAAACATTCACCCTGTATAATTATACACGACAAATACATGCTTCACACAGATATTTGGTGAAGTGGATAAGAAGATATTTCAATCAAGAAGATAACATGTCTCACCCTGTCTAGTGGAAAATACATCCCTTGTTTTATTTGAGGCTTTTGTGTTGTAAATGTGTGCTTCTTTTAGTTTGTGCTTATGTTTGTGTTATGGTTTCCCTTTAAAAGTTATTTGTGTCTGTTAACAGTGCTTATCTGCTCTCAGTAGGTAGATACACGGAAACAGAGTGTTAAAGTGAGCTGAACCAGGCCGGACCTCAAGCGTCATGGCTTCTCAGCTTTCTCTGAAGCTCCGTTAGTTTAGCCTACGGTTCTAAGCCCAGACATTTGACAAACTTCTTACCTCTCAGCTCCCAATCGACCTGAGACACTAGTGGCGCGTTTCCACTACAGCACGGAGCACGGTTTAAGAGGGCTGTGACGTCAGCGGCCCGTTTTTGGTTGCGTTTCCACTTGGCCTAGTACCGGCCGGCGGGTCCTAATTCACAGTTTTTCTGGCCTCATAAAATCGTAGTTCTAGGGCCAGGGACAACCAGGCTGAGTGTGTGACGTCAACACTCTCGGCTGCTGATTGGTCGGAGAGAATCGTCACAATCGGCGCGCGAGATAATCCCTAGCGTCGCATATATATAGCGAAGCTTGCAGCATTTTTATAAACAGCATTTTTGTTAACAGAGGAGCTACATCAATGGCAAAGAAAAGCACACCATGGTCGGTCGAGGAAGTGACGACGTTCCTCCATTATATAAGTGAGCCACGCTGCAGAGGAATGTGTCTTTGATACCTGGAAAGGGATACTAAAGATTTTATTATCTACAAAAGTTAAACAAATTGAAGGTTAAGGTTACCACTGTGCTCTTAACTTACGTGATGTTAAGTAGTAACAAAAAGTATTTTGTTTACTTTCCAGAAATAAAATTTTCCGACATATTAAATTCCACCCTTTTTTTTGGGAAGCAAAGCGGTCTTTATTGAGCTCAGTAGCATGGCCCTCTTTAAATTCAATGTTTTTATTCAGCTAAGAACAGTGAAGCATTATTCAGGTTATAGCTATGCTGCCTAGTATATGCCTCTGGAGGCTCGTCCTCTCGCATAACTCGCTGTAAACACAGCATATTTCAGTTTTTCCACAGCTCAGTTCAATGTTGGTGCCCCCCATACCTTAACTTCTTACACCACAGGGGACCGTCTCAGAAGAGGAAGAGTGAAAGAGAGGGAAGGAAAAATGAACACAGTAAATCCAATGAAAGCCTTTCTCATGAACACCAATCCAACCATTGAACACAGTACACTCTTTACCTATTCTGGAAATAAGCTGTGTTTAATAATCTTACTGCAAACAAGTTCAGTTCAATTATTGGCTTCAGAGAAAGTCGATATTTTGAAACAAAGCACGTATTTCTTTGCTCGTGCTTTGCTCCTGTTATTTTGTACAGATGTTTCCAGGGCCTGATTGTGACCAATTTAATCCTTTCTAATTTAGCTGGTTTTGGAACAGCAAATGACAAATCCCAAGCTACACCCACTTTTTCTCTTTCCACCAAACGTTGACACAGCGGTGTGTGACGCAAACTTGCTGGGAGGAAAGGGTCAGTAGCCAGCTGTGGTGAGGTTGAGGCTTGGCAGTTCCTGGGGTGAAACAGCAATGAATGGCCTTGTTCTTCTCTGTTAAACTCAATGGACTGCCCTCCATATGAGCTGGATGTGAGGGCAGTACGATGGGAGTGTGCAGGAGGCGGGGGTCACGCAGTTTGCCAAGTACAACATTACAACAGAGGTGGGATTGTGTGGCCTGCCTGTTTGTTCTGTCCCTCTGAGGAGGAAGGGTCCTGCTTGCCTCTCCATCTTCCCCTTGTCTCTACCTGACACCAAACAAAATGTCCTTCATCCAACTTCTCACCTGTCTGAGTAGAGACCGCGGTGCCATCACTGTGATGAATGGAGAGGGCAGCTAGTAGTTTACGTGCCCCATGCCATCCATTTTGGCCTGCTCGAAGCACTGGATTTGAAAAGGCTGTTGACATTTTTACTGGCATTTCTTTCCCTTTTAGCCCCAGCGTAACCATTAAAAGGTTTTTTATGTGCACGAGACCTCACAGAATGACTTGAGGAGCGTGTGAATGATGCTTTGTATATTTTTACAACCTTTTTTCGTAAATTGATCCGATTGATTGCACTGTAGATGCAATACACATTTTTGTTGGTTGTGGAACGACCGAACAGACCAGGTTTTAAGGCTCTAGCTGGGTTTTTAGGAGGTAACGGTGGTTTGCATGGAATCCTGTTAAGGGGCAGGCGGTTGAGGGGAAAAAATTGTAAGTCCATTAGTTGAAAAAACGCGTGTTTTTCGGCCAAACGACCAGATGAATCTCCAGCGGGACTGCCAGACTTAACACAACACCCTCGAACTGACATTTAGATTCCCGCCAAAAGGGGTGGCCTTCTGAAGTCAGTGGAAATGAAGAGAGTATTCCTTTGTTCACACCTCTCATCTGGACTCCAATAACTCACATCTGTTTCTCTGTCTCTCTCTCTCTCTGTCATGTCTCAGCTCATTGGCTACACTGAGAAGCCCATCAACCTGCAGATGTTCATCGGAACAGCAGACGACCGCTACTTGAGGCCGCACGCCTTCTACCAGGTGCACCGGATCACCGGGAAAACTGTAGCCACGGCCAGCCAAGAAATTGTAGTCACCAGCACCAAAGTTCTCGAAATTCCTCTCCTGCCTGAAAACAACATGACAGCCGGGTAGGTGTCTGAAGCACTTCGGGGGTTACATTACTCAGTTATGAGCTTACCACCATGAAGGAAGCCCGATCCAATGAAAAAATAACAATGTTTATGATCATATAGGATTATAACATCTTCCAAGGGAGATTTAGTAGATTTTCTTAATTTAAGCCAACATGAGAGTTGGGCGCAGAGGGAAAATCTTTCTCATGGAGCAGAAACTCTATTCAAATATTTATGATTCTGCATCCCCTTGATTATTTTATTTATATAAGGTCTGGTTTCATTTAAGTTGGAACTCATATAGGAAGGGATTTGGTAGGGATTTTCTCCTTTACAGTTGTAATAAATCATATTCACAGGCATTCTTATTTTGTTATTCAACACTCAATTTGCCTCTCATTGCCGACTCCCTACCGGGCTTGTGGTTGGTTTTATCACTCCCAGACCTTCACTACTTATGCCTGTCTTAGTGATTGCCGTATAGGAGCCAACTATTTCCCCTCTACTTTGCAGCATCGACTGTGCTGGCATCCTGAAGCTGCGGAACTCAGACATCGAGCTGCGGAAGGGGGAGACGGATATCGGAAGGAAGAACACACGGGTCCGCGTGGTCTTCCGAGTCCACATCCCACAACCCAACGGGAAGGTGCTCTCTCTGCAGGCCGCTTCTATCCCTGTGGAGTGCTGTGAGTGTCAACAAGCCAGAGTCTCACACACACGCCTACACACATCAAAACATGTTCATTCAGAAAAGCACATGCACACAAACCTTCCCACACACTCCTTTATTAGCCGGCTTGCAGTCTGGCGATTTGAAATGTTGATTTAAACTACTGTTTGCTCATTGAAAGTCACTTAAGATAAGAATGTCTGATACATGTTAAAAATGTAAACGCTCAGTTCTATCCATGCCATTTTTGTTAAGCATTTAGGGAGGTGTTGACACTAATTTGTGGTTTATTTTAAGGCACATTTTTTGGGGGGGTTTTGTATTACAGGTCACCTATTATGCAAAATCCACTTTTTCATGTCTTTTATACATAAACATGTGTCCCCTCTGTGTAAAGAGATTCTGAAAGATTCAGGAAAAAAGATTCGCTCACTTTTTGTCCTGATCCATTTATATAAAAACTGAGCTGATCAGATTTTGGCCACTTAATGATGTCATAACGATTTTTTGGCTTGTGTAACCATTAGCCAATAACCAACCAAGGTAACCCCCCCCCCCACCTTATCACCTGAATCTCCTCCTAGAGCACCATTGTGTTCTTTTTAATCAAATATCTCTCAGAGGGGCGTGGGGAGTGGCTCCTTATTTCCATCTGAAGTAACAGACAGAGAATCAGCACTTTTGAAACAGGGCTGAAACAGAGGGGATTATGGGATGCTGCAATGATCTGTTTGGTGTTTGGAGCCAAACACTTCAGAGACATGTTTTGTATATCTCTGAGACTTATAATAGATTGATGAAAAACAGTATAATAGGGGACCTTTAACATCCATAATGTTTAAAGGTGCTCCTGATGATTTGTCTACACATTATGAATCCACCCTGAATAGTAGACTGCAGAGTGTATAATCACAGCTCAGCCAATGACGCTCCTCCTTCTCTCCTCCACCCCTGCTGCTCCTCTCCCAGCCCAGCGTTCGGCTCAAGAGCTGCCCCAGGTGGAGAAATTCAGCCTGACCAGCTGTCTGGTCAGCGGGGGAGAAGAGATGGTCATCACCGGCTCCAACTTCTTCCCTGAGTCCAAGGTCATCTTCCTGGAGAAAGGCCCTGGTAGGTGCACAGCAGCTTACCTTTGAAACAGTTCGAGAAAATCGAATTGTGTTTAATGGTTGTCTGACAGATTTTATCAGAGAAGCCGCCGTGAGTAAAACATCACATGTGTCATTTATGTGGTCTGTTGGAAAATAGGTATTCTTCAGTGGCCAAAAAACGGACTTTGGGGTGTTGTTAATTTACATTTCTACTCTTGAGGTTGGAATCAGAGGCTTTTCTAGGTCTTGCAGAGGTCAGCAGAAGGATTTTATGGTAGTCCTGTCCGATAAATGTCAGTGGGGATGTGAAAACATACGTGTGTCTTTACCTCAGCCCCAACAAGTCCTCTATTCCCACAGGGCATTCTGTCAGGTGCAGAACAGATGTATCTCTGCTTATAATGCTGTCTATCAAGTAGGCATGAGGCAATGCACTGCAAATCCTGACATGGCTTTTACATTGCAGTATTTGTACACATTTGTTTACACAGACACATACTATCTTGTAGCAAACTCTACAGTCTTTTGGTTTGATTATTCAAACCACTGCAGTATCAATATATTACACAAACATAAAAAGGTACAAACTTTATTTTCACAGTCTACAAAGCTTCCTCAAAATACTGTCATCTTTACTTAACACAAAATGATACATCTTATAATTCACATGCTTAGCAGGACAGGCTAATATGGTCAATACGTATGCTAATTTGCATGCTTCATGCTACAGTGTGATTATTTGTGACTTTGAAAGTTGCTTATATCTGTTAAACAAAGGCCGACGCTAAATACGTTACTTAGTTAAACTCTCTTTGCAATTCATCCTGTTCAGTCACTGGCCTTTCTCTGCCTTCTCTTTTGTACATCACTCCGTAATCAAAACACATATTGTAGCTGTTCCCTTGGATGGAAATGTTAAATGGATAGCAATCGTAGAGCCAGTCTCTGCCTGCCTGAGACACCTTTGAGATGCGGAGCAACAGAATCAAGTTCACACATGGCAGAAAGTTGAAGGGTGTTGTTTTTGCGAGTAAGAGCCTATGTCTACCATTTTTTTATCCCGTAGGAATGTCTGTAGCTCTTTGAGGTGTAGCAGCTGAAGCATGGCAAAGAGAGGTAGCACGGTTGAAACAACCCCCTGATGGTCGAGTTTTTATAGCACAGCAGCAAGTGGAAAGCTTAGAGAGGTGCATCTTGGGTATGAAGGGAAAGCTGGGCCCCATGGAGCACGAAGGCAGCGGACTGTGGAAAGAGACAGAAAGAAAGCGAAGGGGAGTGGAAGATGATGTTGATTAGGTTTGTGTAAATGATCCCCCTCATCACGACTAATCCGCCTGCTTTAGTGCAGAAAGGCCCTGATTGGAGTAAGTATAGGAATGGAAGAAAAGGAAAAAAAAGAGGCAGTGACAGACATTTTTCCACCATCTGTCAGAATTTGAAGACAACAGTAGATTCATAAGGAACTGGAGAAACTGGGATTTGGTTGCTAGTACACAGAGATGATGGGATGGTACTATAAATGACTCTATGTACAGACATAGAGATCATGGGGCATTTGTTGGTGTGGGATCATATTTACAGTAAAAGCAGAAAAATGTCAAAGTGTAATGTCTTTTTTTGCCATGTGGTAGTAGTCATAGCTTCAGAGTCCTGCTTTTGTTGCTACCTTAAAGCCTGGCAACTGAAAGGTTACATCTACACAAAGTACATACTGTTTAAAATATGTGATAGATGTCTGTTTTCCTCACTTTTTTATTGTTTTTCTCTCTGTATTATTTCCCTAAAAGCAAGATTAGCATTTCAAAGCTACGAGACTTCTCAAACAATGAAGTTCAGAATAAGTCCATAATTGGTATAAGTATTTCAACTTTACAAGGATGAATGTTTATACAAAAGAATGAACTTTAAAGGCTATAACTGTAGTAGTGACTAATAGAGCCTGTGTTCTCTGTAGTCACTGTGTTGTTTCTCTTGTAAGAGCAAATAACTGTGGGCTTTTACAAATATGTTTTAAATAAACAGTAATCAGCTTTTGTTATTTTTGTGTTGGATCTTCCGGGGCAATAGGTGCTCGCTCTATCCCTTCTGACTGGGGTGCGCAGGGTGTCTGGATGATGGAGTCATTGTCTCAGCTTGGTATGAGGTGCCTGTTGGTGCTTGTTGTCTGACAGAGCATGTGGGGCCCTTGCTCCTGCCTGTTGAATGTCAACAAGCTGCGCTGCAATAATGCACTGCTGTCAGCTGCAAAGACATTCAAGGTCATTTGCTCAGAGGAAAAGGAAAAAGTATCTTTCATCTGTGATTTTTTTTCACGAGTGTCTTCAGAGTTGTTACTGGCTTATGGATAACTACAACTATGACTAACGTTAGGGTGAGATAAGAACAGGTAAATCACTTACTTAGAGCGTGGATTGTAAATGTTACATGGCTTACAGTTGAGTGCTTGTAAGGAAACATATAGGCTTGCCTCTCTGCAGACATGCTGCAGATGCCTGACGGTGGTTTTTGGGGGAATCCTTTGGGTTTTGAGGAAGAGGCCGTGCAGGTGCAGAGTACACTCGCACCATGTGAGCAGTATGAAAACAGGCAACTGCAAATTAATTTGACTCCGCTGAGAGACTATACAGTACTCACTTAGTTGTCAAAGTTTGTATTCTTCTCCATGCTGCAATGATTGTGATTTCTTCCAACCACACGGCAAGTCTGTCAGTGTTTTCAGCCCGACTGCTTCCCTTCAAGCAGCTGCCCTTAAGACGTCTCGCCAAATAATTAGATCCCTCATAGGAAAGCTGGAAAAGGATGTTTTCTAGCCAGAAACCTGGCAGTGTGTTAAGGCCTTTTCAAATAAATACAATTATTCCACTCCTCTGTCCCATAATGTTAACCAGGCAAGACAAACAGCAGGATATTTGGACATTTGATTACCATTTAATAGCTGCTAAGACTTTCTCCATAAGGCTTCTGGGCCTTTCAAAATGACATTGTTTTGATGTCTCTCGTTTCTCCAGAACAAATTGAAATCGTGTGCTCAAAGTCTCATATGGTTCTCAAGCCCTGTCTGTTTGAGAAAACCCTGCACACTGACATCATCTTTAGGAAACTTTAAGATGGACAAAGAGAGCTTCTCCAGAAGAGGAAACTTACTTTGAAAAATAGCAGACTTTAATTCAAAAGGGTCCTCATAATAAAATGTAGACATCAGTGGTCATGTGTGGCCTGGGTTTATTTATTATCACTTTTGCTTCAGGAACTTGTTTGTTTTAATGTATTTTGTGACTGGTATGTGATACAATGATACTGTGTAACTCTCAGTCTATTCTTCATTAAAAAGCCTATTTTATCCAGACCTGCACTGGAGAACTGTCTTTTCTGATTGACTGATTTGTCAAATGTGTCACTTTCCTTATGAATTGGAGGTTTATTGTTAAATCTAAATCAACATTTTTGAGTTTAGAGTGACGTATATATTTTGTGTAATATATGTTCCTGCTATCTTTCTCCCTGCCTGCACTAGGAGTATCACTGGTTTGTGCATTTATATATATTTTTTTCCTAACCATAGATGGACGACCACAGTGGGAAGTTGAGGCAAAAATAATGCGTGAGAAAACTCAAGGAGTAAGTAGTCAAATGTTTATACTGCATATTGTCTGCAACATTTGTACTCATTTTTGTGTACTAGCAGTTACTTTTTATTGTAGGTTGTGTTGGCAATAATTGAGTGTAAATAATGTCAAATGTGTTTTTTTGCAGTCGTGCATCATTGTGGAGGTCCCTCCCTACCACAGTAAGTCTGTGGGCTCAGCTGTGCAGGTGCAGTTTTATGTCTGCAATGGCAAGCGGAAAAGGAGCCAATCGCAACGCTTCACTTACCTATCAGGTGAGATAAGAAGACTTTTAGACAGAGTTAGACCGTTAATGAAAGTTTTGGGTTGGTTATTTTCGACTTAAAGTTGCTACATTTGAAGACAATCCCCTCGGTTGTAGGTAAGGGAGCACAAGCTAATGCTTTTACAGACATTTAGACAAAGGGTTTCTCTCAAGCTTTACTTTGCATTCCTTGGGGTGTACTGCTCCCTGTTGCAGCTCATCTCCAAAGATAATGACAAGAAGTTTGACTGACAGCAGAGACAGTTGTAACGTGCTCTCGGTGTTGCACACTTCTCCACAGGGGTTTCACTAACCCCGTTTCTCTCAGCATCACTGTGGTTTACAGGGGCTTCTCCACTAACAATAACATTAACACCTGCCAACTGTTTATTCTGTAAAGCCTACTCAAACTACCAAGCCAACATTATTTTTTCTTTTGCAATCCAGGAAACTTTATATATTCGCAGGGCCATCAGTAGTTTCATACGAGTATTTTAGCAGTAAGGCAACTCGATAGTCATAATATTTTGATTTGAAAGTTTCCTCAATGTTTTTCATTAAAGGCAAATTCCTGCCGTGCTATTTGATTGATTTGATTTGTTATTGTGTTATTTTCCTCGAGAAGCTAGTCATACTGAAAAACCGTTGGCGGAATATAATGGCATGTGAGCATTTTGTGCAACATATCCAAACCCCTGAGTTTTACCACAAAAGTGTGTAAGTTTGTGTGTGTGTGTGCGTATATGCGGCCTTGCCCCTCCACCCACCCAGCCTTTCTGTTTGCAAGCACGCCCACTCAACACTGACAGTTCCTGTTTTCAGCGTCGACAGATCAGAGCAGCCAATCAGAGCAGAGTAGAGTTACCCTGCTCTGTCAATCAAGCGGCGTCGCTGACACCACTAATGTAACCACGGACACCGCCTGCATTATGGCGGCAAAAAATTAAAAAGTTTTCATTGTGGTCTGGGCTGCAGAGGCCCTGGCCCAGTTGAAGGATGAATTGTGAGAAAATTGTGACATGTTTAAAAAGAAACTTGGAGAGAAATTGTCTTTATTTAACAAAACGTGCAAACTATTTGTTAAACCTTTATAATCATTTGCTTCCTTTACCCACCAAATAATACTGTACCTCTGTCTCGGTTTGAAGCCACAATAAACACTACTTTGCTTTGGAGAACACATTTTCTTTTTTAAACTTAAGAAACAAACTATGATTTTCTGTATGAAAACAGGATTTCAATGTTGGTTTTCAGTCAGAAAGAAAATTATTTGACCTTGGGGGAAAAGTGTCTTTTTAAAACAGAAGGAAAAACATGTACCCTTTACTTACCCTTGATATACCTTTGGCTCTATTCTATTTGTCCTTGGGGTCTTCTTCAAACAGAAGTAAAAAACAATTTTTTTAAATGTCTGGGTTTCATTTTGAAGCCATAATAAAACAGGATTTCATGTTTTTTTAAATATACAGTTCCCTTGCTTTACCCTTGATATCCCTCTGGCTCCGTTTAAAGCCAGAATAAACCCTGTTTGGCCTTTTCGTGCCCCCTCGCCTCTCAATCCCAGAGGCATGATGGGGTGAGTAGAGGGCACTGAACTCGTTTTCTGTTGGTCTGATCCGGGCTGCGGGGCATTCGGCTCCTCTCTTCTCACACAACATTTCACATGATGGCACCCGGACTGACAACATATGCTCTCCCTCTAATTCAGAGCTGGATAAAAATAAAACTCACTGTCACAAGGCACCAGATTGGGAAATAGGTTACCGATTGGCATAGCAGAGCTGTGTGTGCTGTCACAGTAAAAGTGATTGTCCCCATTTACCATCACAATGTCACTCGTTTTCTTGAAGCTTTTTGCATCTGGAAGGAGACACATTTCACAAACCGTACATTTCAGAAACTATTCTTCAGACTTTTAGGTTCTTGTGACCTAGTTTTTCTGGTTTTACTGACACATATTTCAACTTCAAAGACACTGATTGGGTGAACTTGTGGGGGATGAAAATGTGGAAAAACTTGAAACACCGACTTACTTGCCTGAAGGCACTGGACTTAGCAGCAGCATCACTAGCTGTGACACTGTCAATGTTGCAATACAATGACCTGACTAATGTATATTCTTACTGTAATCTACCCGCCACCACACTTCATTCCATAATGTTACACTTAATTGATCTTATAAATACTGCTGCTGCTCACTTATTTGCCCTGAATTTTCTACTTACTTTTATTAATTTTTTTAAATACTATGTACATACCTTTTTATCTAATAGTGTATTCTTTTTATTTTTCGTCTCTATCTATACCCTGTGTGTGGGAATAAAGGAATTCTGATCCTGATTCAGGCAGTATTTGAGTGATTGATGTGTTTGATCCTGTCTGTATCACCGTTTTCCTCACATCTCCCTTCCTCTCCCCCTTCAGTGTTGGTGAAACAGGAGCACAGAGAAGAGCTGGACCTCTCTGCCGTCTCCCCCATGTCCCTCCCCCTGGCCCATGCTGGCGGGCTGGTGCGCCCCCAGCTGCCCTCTCCGGAGCAGTGCCACCCATCGGACGGCCTTCTGTCCAGCTCCCCCCACGGCCTGCTCCCCCTGCAGGGCCCCTGCCCCTCCCTGGGCTCCCCGTCTTTCCAGCACCTGCCTCACCTCCAGAGTCGCAGCTTGCACCACCCCCCCGCAGACTGCCACATGACGTTCCACCCGACCCCTGCTCCTCTCCCTGCGCCCCCCCGGCCCTCCTACCAGTCCATGCAGCACGGCCACAGCCACAGCCTGCCCTTCAACGGCCAGTCCCCCCTTCCCCTTCAGGGCTACGAGAGGATTCCCTTCCAGCACAGCGTCTCTGCAGCGTCTCACCCGATGGGGATGGGGATGGTGTACCCTTCCTCCCCGTGCTCCTCACCATCAGCTCCCCCCTCCTCAAACAGCATAGCTGGGTCTCCCCAGAGCCAACAACCGATGCTCTCCCCCTCATCCCCACGCCTGCACACACTCGGAGGCTATCACTGCTCCCCAAACCCCCCTCAGGTGCCCTCTCCCGGCGGCCACCCCCTCGTGGGGCAGCTGCAGAGAGCGATGGGCTACCACCCCGTGGGTCAGAGGTCAGCCTCCTGTCCCACCCCGTCCAGCGCCCCTGCTACCAGGATGATCCCCTCTCCCCACTCAGGGCCTTCCTCCCCTCAGCTCCACTCGCTGCCCTACCAGTCTCCCACCTCCTCCTCCCCCACATCAGGTGGCAGTCCTCTGGGGCCCATGCAGCAGCAGCAGCAGCAGCAGCAGCAGCAGCAGCAGCACTCAGGTCAGCACTCCCCCCAGGCCACCAGCCCGGTCATGGCCAGCCTCTCCCCGGTGGCAGCGGGGCCTCTGATTCACCCTCTGAGCCCACAGGGACCCTTCCCCTCGGACAAAGAGAGGCCGGACATCAAAGAGGAGCCTGAGGAGAAGGAGCCCACCTTCCGCTCCATCGGCCTACAGGACATCACGCTGGACGATGGTAAGTTATTTCTATCATCATTTTCTGACTAACAACTTTTCTTCGGGCTTGTGTCCACCTGATTTCCTTTATAAGCAGAAAAGCACTGAGGGTGGTGAAGAGCATGTGTTTAACTTGCCTTCTCTACTGTGATCCTGAAAAGTGACAGAGAAGAGCACAAGATGTCTATAAAAAGTTTATTTAGATTTGACATAAGGCTCATTAAGGCAGTCCCACACTTGACACTTTATCCTATATGGAGTGGTGCAGTGACGCGTCCTAAAACCCGGAAGCAAGCTGCGCATGGGTTCCCTCGACAAAAACGCAATGGAATTTCTCCATAGGATTTTGGAAAATAGCTGGAAATAAGGTCTGTGGTTGACACACATTTAAGAGACGGGTCACGTTTGGTTCAGTCGGATAATCTCCACATGTCTACCCTACTTTTATAATTTTCTAATCGTAAATCTAATCACCAGAAGCTAAATGCTAACGTTATGCTATAAACGAACTACAGCAGGGTTGCTGCTTCAACGTCACGCCAACTTAAAGGTCCCATGTCATGGCCATTTCTACTGATCATAATTCCATTGTTGAGGTATACTAGAATAGATTTATATTGTGCAATTTTCCAAACTCACATTGGTTTCTCATACAGCATCTCTGTATAGTATGTGTATTCACCGGTATTCACTGTGAGCCCAGTGTGCTCTGATTGGTCGGGACGTTGCGAGGCTCGCTGCTCAATGATCTGGCTTACTGGTGTGGTTTCCGGGTCGGCGATACAGCGGGACAGCGCGAAACTCATCCTGAGCACACACAAACACTCACAGCCGAAGTAAAAACAATAAGTGTGGCTTGATATTGAGTAAGAAAAAGGTTTATACACACTGTGAGAATGGGTCTGCGGAGAGAATTTCTCCGCGATCCCAACTCGTCTATTACCAACCAGGGAGCTCTATGCAAGTCAATGGGACTCCCTGTTAGTTGAAAATGTACGCTCAAGGTCCTGGTGTGTGAGGAGCTCCGCGGATTGGTCCATTTTGGTTCCCGGAAGAAACAAATGGAAAATGAGAAATGTCCAACGAGGCGTTCTGGGGCAGCATAGACAGGTATTTTCTGTGTTAGAGTTTTACTCGCTACAGGGTGTACTTTGAGGGATTGTGACTCTGCAAACCATTTTAAATGCATACAAACCTTCATAACACACAAGGGGACGGGTAATAACCGGAAAAGCATGACATGGGACCTTTAAGATCCATATTCAAACACAGTGGCGGCCGGTGGTCTTTTTTTTTGGTGGGGCTCTTGACGTACCGTAAGTGACCTACCCGGGGGGTCCGGGGGGTTTTCCCCCGGAAACTTTTTTCGAGAAATGACCCCTTAAATGATGACTTCTGGTGATGTTAGAGGGGGGGGGGAAAGGAGAAATCGAGGCTTAAAAATATGAGAAGACTGATCAATACCTCCATAATCTTCAGTGTGGAAAATATTATTTATCAACCTGAACATCTACTACTTTACCAGGAATTTGTGTTCTCCGAACTGGTCTGTTTTTTTCTTTCTTAAAACTGTTCATGTTTTATGAACCAACACCTTCACCAAGTAGCTTTACAGTGAACTGCATGTGAGATATAAAATTAATAGCATCTTTTCAGTAGCATTAATTATAAATATTTAAGTGGTTCAATACAAGTCACTACAGCATTTCAAACTGAACTGTGAATAAATGCAATTTAAAAAAAAATAACCACAGCACAAAATGTCATAAATTGTGTTTTTTCTTTGTTTCTCTGAGGATTATTTACAAACAGGCTTATTTACATATAGCAATAACTCAGAAATGAAAAAGCTACATCGTCTAACACGAACAACCACTTAGCATAATGATAATATATGTGTTATGTACAATGTAACTGGCAAGGCTAGAGCAAGAAAGAACATAAAGTTTGCAAAAGGTTTAAATAACTTCAAGTATCTGTCTTCAGATTACGTGGAGGTTTTAGTCCGATGGGAAGCAGATTTTAAGCGACACCGAAGATAAACCAAAAATGTGGTGGAGCTGCAAACCGTGTAGTGTTGCTGGGACAGAACAGGAGCTATAACCGTTGGAAAATACATCACAGACAATGCAACAAACGTGGAGACAGAACAATCACTTCTGTGATAAATGCCCACTTATTAATAAACTTCTAACAACCATGGGAAACCTCCTCTCTACATATAAAGTGATATCCAAGCATGGGAAACAAAAGACAGCATTTACCTGTTTGCATCCAGCTAGCCAAGCCTTTCTTGTGTACCAGCTACTTGTGAAGCCTCGTGTATAAATGTTGTCTTTTTCACGAGATTGCTGCGATATATTCAAATCGGGTTGGTCCGGTGCAAGGTCTTTAAGCAACAATTTATCTGCCAAACTTCTCCTTTCGAAAGGATTGGAGATTAGCTCTTGAACAGAATTAGCCGGGGACCGAGGTCCGGAGACTCCACCTGCACACGAAGCCATCCTCATCAACTACTGCGTCAACCGGATACGAGTCACTGTCCAAACTACTCACAGACTGCACTGGGCGCTGACATTGGCGCCCGGTGACCGTCATCTTTGACGACGCTGATTGGCTGAAATTATATTTTCGCGGCATAGTTTACACGTTACAGATAGCAACAGTCAGCTGCTGGTGGCTGCTGCTGCACTGGTTGAAGGCTCCTCTCTTAGCGCCCAGACGAGAGAAGGTGCATGGGCAAGGCCAGGCAGGAAACATGTGACTTATCAGTAACTTTAGACATCGTAACACAATTTTAAACGAGATTTTATTGTAGATTATACATTTTACTGATACCAATTATATAATATTTACCTTGTTCATTAAAAATAAAAATAAAAACATATATATTTTTTTAAACATATTTTTTTTTTAATTTTAATTTTAATTATTATTATTATTTTTTTTTTTCAATATGGGAAGAGGTGGGGCGGCGCCCCTAGCGCCCCTATGGACCGGCCGCCACTGTTCAAACATACAGATTCAAAATGGTACAAGTTGAAGCGTTTGTTTTAACAGTTTGCAGGAGGCAGGTACATGCTTTCAAGCGGAACACGGGGAAAAAGAAACTTAGCGGGAGTGTTTACGTGTTCGGTGTAATGACGTACAACGGCCTCGACAACTTCTGTAGTCCTATTCAGCCACTTGTTAACAACCATCGTTTTTCAGACACGTCAACTCTTCAGAAATCACCAGCGGGGTCACTGCTGATGGATTTAATGTCATAGAACAAAACGTGATCCGTCTCTTCAATGTGTCTCAACCACAGACCTTATTTCCAGCTATTTTCCAAAATCCTATGGAGAAATTGCATCGCTTTATTGTCCAGGGAACCGGAAGTGGTAAGACGCTAACTTACTTCCGGGTTTTAGGACGCGTCACGGCACCACTCTATTTGCTAGCACTCTAAAACAATTAGAAAGAGAAGCTGGCCATCAGATAAAGACACCCAGTGGACACGCATCTACATTTCACTTTCACTTTATGGTGATGACACCCTACATGTCTCTTTTGTTTTTTGTCTGACTCTCATTCTCCAGTTTCCTGTAAGTCAAATCATCCTGCTCTCATTATCACATTTCCCTCCCTCACCCTGTCCTTTAACACAATATATTTACACAGCCCTCCCATCTGTGAACAATCTCATTTTCAGTCTAAAACAAGCGGCCGCTGTGGGATTCAATCTACCCTACATTGTGTCACGAGCAGGATGAATTTATATCTGATGATGTAAAACAATACAGAACATCAGTTGTTTCTCCAGTGGAGGAAACCTTGGTGCCTGATTATGGTGATAGCGTTTTTCATCAGGTTCGTTACTGAGGGGTCATGGGACTTCGTATTGGGTAACATAGACACACATAGCACTGATAACTGTAGTATCATATTAAAGGGGGTTAGGGTTAGGGTTAGGTTAGGGTTAATTGTAAAAAGCTTCTGTATCTGGCAGCAGTTTGGAGATGAATTACACGCACTGTGTTTTTTGGCTTCTTGGAGCTGGGGGGGGGGGGGGGGAAGGATTGCATCATCTACTTGCAAACAGTGAAACACAGTTGTGTGCCAGAGCAGTAATTACATCCTGTGTGCGTTTGTGTGTATGTTAGCGTGTGTACGTGCATTAACCACTCTAATTAGCATGCTCAGGAGAACTTAACTATTGAGCGTGAAGTCATTTAGCAGCTTTTGTCTTTCAACTATAAACTCTACTTTTTAAAATATGTGTGTCCAGACTACTCCGAATCATCTACCTCCTTATCTGTTGCTAAGAGCCTCTTTGGGCTTTGTTAACCCCTGTGTTGTATTCAAATGAGGGTCCTAAAGCTTTGGGGTTAATAAATAACATGGCCAAGGTGTCGGGGAGGTACGGTTTTGTGTGCGAGCATGGGTCAGCCTAATTAACACATGGCCATTGTCAATAAGTCATGTGTGAAAGACTAACAACCACTGAAGTACATAAAACATGTTCAAACACACACTTTAGCATGTAGCATGTTTGTTTGGTCGATTTCTCCCTAGCACACACACACCTTGAAAGACCCACAGTCGGCTGCACTCACACTATCAAAAAGAAAAGTGTGAGAAAAGTTTGTGAGTGACACGGTTCAGCTGGGAATGTGAGCTCTCCCTTTGAGCCGGTGGCTAAAAATAGCTTTCTGTGCCAGCCCAGCTCTGTAGGCCATGTGTTGAAGCAGCAACGTGAAGCTAAACGCAGCTCTGAGTTTTAGCAGGTCACACTCTGTTAAGTAGACCGTATTCAGCCCGGTTTGATAAACACACAGATCAGGATGGGCACCAATATCACACATATTTAGATAAGAAGTGAAAAATGCACATGTAGCAGAAGATACACATGTAAGAAAGAATATTTAAAGTTGTTAAATCTGTTCACAAACTCAAATATCATCCATAGCAATTACGTATAATTAGCAATAATTATTCCTTTAGTGCGTATAATCTCTTTGATAGGGAGGCTGTGGC